TCGTGTCCGTGGGTGGCGCGAGGCGGAGGGGAGTCGATGCCGCCTCCCCGGGCGGCGCGTGGGGAGCGCTCCGCAGCCTGAGGGAAACGGCAAGCGGGGAATGTGTGAGTAATGTCTTGCCGGAGCTGAGAGCGGTGACCTGCCGGGGCCTGTATCGATCGAGGGCCTCATGCCAGATGGCTCCCGCTGTGGGGACAGCCAGGGAGGCCGCCGAGGAGCCCCGAGCTGGGACCTCGCGGAGGCTGCGTGCGGCCTGGCGAGGTCGTGCTGGGTCCAATGGAGAAATTTGAGGGTTCATCCCAGCGGGATGGAGCCAGCGGGAATGTGGGCTCCGCCGAGAGCGGCAGGTCTCAGCATGTGAAAATTGAGTTTGCACTTGGAAGCCTTGATGTGGGACAAGGGGAAAGTGGTGGGGTTGGGGAGGGAGTTGGCACAGGGACATCCGCGCGCAGGTGCCTCGGTGTCAGACGGGCACAGGTCTCCTGCCCGTACGCCTGCGCGTGGCGGTTGACACGAGGTGGCCTCTCCGGAGAGGTTCCGGGACACGCTGGGCCTGTTCGCCTGTAACCCTCTTCTCTCTGCTCTCCCTTGCAGCAGCGATGCCGTCACCTGGGCAGACCCCGAGCGCCGGGAGCGCCAGGCCGTAGGCGCAGCCACCGCCGTGGACCCGCAGGGTGTGGAGGCGAGGAAGAGCCTTGAACCGTGAGGGGGCCGTTAACTCTAAGATGTCCTTGAGCAGCGGAGCTTCCGGAGGGAAAGGAATCGATGCGAACCCGGTTGAGACGTACGACAGCGGGGATGAATGGGACATTGGAGTAGGGAATCTCATCATTGACCTGGACGCTGATTTGGAGAAGGATCAGCAGAAATTGGAAATGTCGGGCTCCAAAGAGGTGGGGCTCCCGGCGCCCAACGCGGTGGCTACCCTGCCCGATAACATCAAGTTTGTGAGCCCCGTGCCGGGCCCGCAGGCCAAGGAAGGCAAGTCCAAGTCGAAAAGGAGCAAGAGTGGCAAGGACAGTGGCAAGCCAACCCCAGGGACCTCCTTGTTCCCTCCCGCGGAGGGAGCTGGGGGCAAGAAGGAGACGCAAGGACGTTCTGGGGACAGCGTGAACTCTGGGGGCTTGGTGCCCGCCGTCACCTCCAAGGGCTCGGAGAAATCGGCCAAGGCGTCGCGCAGCGTGGCCGGCTCCAAGAAGGAGAAGGAGGGCGGCTCATCCAAAAGCAAGAAGGAAAGGAGTGAGGGCGCGGGGGCTCCGCCAGAGAAGGAGCCCAACGTACTGCAGCCCCTCGCCCTGGCTGTGAGGGTGGGACAGTATGACGGGGGCCAGGGGACAGAACCTGCTGCTGCCGAGCAGCTTGGGAGTATAGCTATTGACACGGGAGCTGCGCTCAATCCCTTGGGAGTTAAGTCGGAACTGGAGGACGGGGAAAGCGAGTGCCGGCAGCTGAAAAAGGTCAAATCGGAGAAGGTAAGAGAAGCGGCTGGGGGCTTGTGGCGGGCGGGGGGCACAGTCTGGCCAGCCCTGGCAGCTGCCCACGCTGCTGCGCAAGGCGCGGAGCGGGACGTCGCGCCGGCCCGGCGCGTGTTTGGGAGCGGGAGGCAGTTTGCGGCACCCTTGCGTGCTAATGGTTACTGGTGCGGCACGTTCTTCCCTGTTCTTGGTGGAGCAACGTGCTGGGCTCTGGAAGCAGTGACGTGAGTAATCTCTGGTGGGAATGGAGCGTAGCTGTAGCGCGAATCTCCAGCCCACGGCGGCTTTGCGTGGCACCCGTCGGAGGAAGCCGGGTGGCCCTGGGGCTTAGGAGGCAACAGAGGAGAGGGTCTGTATGTTGGGATGGGGAAGACTGAGCAGAGGGCTGCAGCCAGGGCGCTGCCGCAGCCCCTCCGGTTTCTGCTGCCGTGTGGGGTGAGCCCAAGCCAGCAACGAAGACAAGGTGCTGGCCCCGGTGAGACAGGGTCCTGTCCTGTCCCTGTGCCAGCTCCCAGCAGAACAGGACAGAGCAGGTCTCCAATCCACTGGCTACTGCGCTTGCGTTGGCCACGTCTCCTGTGTCAAAGCGATCCCTGTAGCTCCCCGAGAAATTAATTTCTCTGTAGTTGCATCATTTGCAGAGAGGGAGACCTTAATGTGTTAGCAAACGTGGGATCTGTGTGGGTGTGCAAGCAAGCGCGAGGCGCGGGGCCGACACGAGACTCTGCCTCGCTGCTGGGGCTGCGGGCGGCGCGTGGGCCTTGTCCCACTTAGGGTGACAAACCGCCTCGAGCCCCGTGGTTGCTGTGGGCGGTTTCCGTGTTGCTCCTCCGTGAACTTGCAGCAACGTGAGACGGCGCCGATGGCTCCCGGCAAGGCTGCGGCGCCGTTGGAACAGAGCTGCCCCCCTTCTCCTGCAGCTTGCCGGGGGCGCGAGGAGCCCGTCCGCTGGCGCCAGCGGAGCTGCCGGTCGTGTTGGCGCTGCGCGGCGCTGGGTAAATGGCCGGCTTTCTCGGGAGTGCTCTGATGGTTCCTGCGCTGGGTGGCTGTGGAGCAGAGAGGTGGAGCAATTTCTCTCTGTGGCCGCTGGAGCGAGTTGATTAACTCGTCTCTAGTAATTGCAGTGGCTGATGTGATCTCTGCTAGCGAGCGCGGACGAGGGAACCCGCGGTGTGCCCGGATCTGTTCGGGCTTGGCTGGAGGGGCATCTCCAACGCGCCGTTGCCCTTGCCGTCCTGCGTGAGCAGCTGGCCTTGGTGTGAACGGGTGATGTTGCTGATGTGCACCCAAAGTGTCCGCGTGTCAGCTCCGTGCCCGTGGGTCAGGAGGGGAGCGCGCACAGCAGACCTGGCTTTCTGGTGGAACCTGATCCGTGTGTGGTGAACGCTGGAATCGCTTCGCTCCGTTGCTGTGAGGAAATGCTGCGGTGCCGGCAGCAAGGGCGGTGGGAATCGCGGGGTGCCAGGTGAGTGCTGTGGCGCTTGCCCGGGCAGAGCTCAGCTGCGTCCCCCGTGTGCGGGGCCTTGGCCCTCGCGAGGATGTGCCGCGCGCGGCAGAACTGCGGGGAGCCCCTGGGAGCCCCGCGCGATGCGGCGGAGCAGGCTGCTTGGGGGCCTTCGCAGCAGTCCACGAAGCAAGAACTGTGGTCCCTTGTGATCGAAGGAGGCGGACAAGTAAATAAAAACGCAGGGAGAAGAGCACTGAGCTTGTGCCCTCTGTTTCGACAAGGAATCTGAAGCTTTTTCCTCAACAAGCTTTCATAGCTGTGTGCACTGCCAGGGGGTTATCCTGATGGACAGTCATAAAAGCTTGTCCCTTCCAGCAGCTCTGTGCCTTTCCAGACCGGTACCACGATGTTTCTATCTGCAAAGAGATGGTTCAGAACATGAAAATGCAGAAGGAAGCCTGGTGAGATGGTCGCTTATGAGATGGCTCTGTTAGAGAAGCTGCTAAGTAGGTCAGTGCTCTTTGGCTTGGGAAAAGCACTGCAGGGCAGTTGGTTGAAGGATCAAGGAGTGGTGTGGAGAAGATGTGTTGCTTCGTTGTCCTTCCCATCAGGAGAACAAGGGCACGTTGAATGAAACCAGGAAGGGGAGCGGATGCCCTTTTGCATGATGACTTTGTGGGATTCCCTGCCGCAAAGAGGTGTGGAGCCTGAAAGCCTCCCGGGGCTCCGGGGGCACCGGGATGGGTCTGTGGAGGAGGAACCGGGTGAGGGCTCTCGCAGGGCAGCATCCGTGACGTGGATAATCCCTGCAGGTGGGGTGGGTCCTGGGAAGGAGCTGGAGGAAGCATGGCAACGTGCTGCTCTGGGTGTGCTCCCTCCCCACCAAGAGCCTGGCCTCCGTCACAACCAGCACGTCGCTGGCTGGACCTCTGCTCCTACCAGCATGGCCTTGCCTGTCCTTTAATGTTAAAGACTCATTCCTTTCATGGCTTGGCCTGTTGGTTGTGCTCCTTTGGTCTCCTGGATGTAGGGTTGCCCAATGAAGCTTGGTTCAAGCTGGCAGAGCCGGGGGTGAGGAGGAGGAAGCCGCTCCGAGCAGTGAGAGCGGCCTCCGAAGCGCTGCTGGAAACTGGTTTGGGTTCCTGGAGCAGCCCGAGGCCGGGCAGGTGGCCGGGGACGGGAGGAGCGTGGTGACGAGGCGGGCGCCCAGTGCTCGCCCGGAGGCACCGGCTGTCCCGGGAGGCGCCAGGCCGGAGGGGGCGGCCGGAGAGGGACGGCTCCGGAGAGCCGCGAGTCGCTCCGTGCCGCGGGCGGCAGCGGGGGGACGGGGAGGGGGGGGGCGGG